CTGCAGACTGCATTTTGTTTTGTGTAACACATCACAGTAGATTTGCCCACTGCCTCTTACCCCCAGTAATATTGAAAGATCAAAAGAACCAACCAAACCCTCAAAGCCTACCTTGATTGTTATACCACCCACCTCCAATCTGATTGGAAAGATCCATTATCTTTTGCCGATTTTGCATATATTTCAAACATTCAACTTGTATATCTCCCTTTGTACTCAATTATGGCTACCAACCTTTCTTGGTCTTCCTAGTCCCACATCTGTACAAGACACCAACAACTGCCTCCAACTATTATCCCAGGGTTTCAAGCATGCACAAAGCACATTACAGGATAGTCAACGCTCTTATAAAAACAACTGCTGATCGCAAAATGAATACCAGCCCCTACGAATGCTGTGAGTAAATCGTTTGGTTATCAACAAAGTATCTAAAACTTTCCTGCCCATCCAAGAAACTGGGAGCAAAGTACATAAGGCTATTCGGCATCATTAAACTGATTTCTCCAGTGGTGTCACAACGATCTGCCATCTATCCCACATTCCATGTCTCTTAGCTGAAACCCATTATGGACAACCCATTCCCTGCTAGAATACCTCCATATTCAGTCATAGTGTCTAATGAACCAGAATATAAAGTCCAAAATATACATCGCTCCTGTATCAGGTAGGGAATCCTTTTAATACTTTATCAACTGGAATGGATATGGCCCCAAAGAGAGGTTCTGGGAACTGGCTTCCAACGTTCATCCTCCATACTCTAGATAGGGATAGCTAGAGTTAAAGGTAGAGCTTGTTAACTAGAGCTAGATCAGAATTCGATGTAGTTAAGTTTAGGGTAAGCAAGGATTTACTAGAGTTATAGGGTTAGAGTGTGCTAGGCTTAGCATAAAATGTATGCATTAATTTAGAAAAAAATAAATAAATAAAATATATATTTATATATATATATGTAATATATTTAATAAAAAATATAACATAAATATTGCGGGGGTTTCTACTGCTTTTGCAAAATGGATCTGTATGCCATAACTGCTTCAATGAACTAACATAGTTTTGGTGATTACAATATCTCTTTAAACGAAACCTCATGAACACCAGAGGTTTTATTACTAAAAAGGTCATATCCAAAAAAGTCCTGTTTTAAGAAATGTGTACAATGTGCTATTCCATGCTTACTATTTTGTCTGAGTTTTGTGATTTATTTGATAGAATTTCTTTTTAAATTTTTTTTTTTTTTAAATTACCACGTGACATGGGGAAGAAAACTAATTTGTGGTTTTACCGATATGTATACATGAATCTGGAAGAGATTTATTGAGACAGAATCATTAACTGAGGAGACAAGCTAAAAAAATGGAAGCTAAAGGAACACTCGTATATAGGGTTAACCCAAAAACTGTAGAAGTAAAAGGAAAGAAGAAATGAGTGTCCTATGAGGATATAAAATTTAACCTTTAATAGTAATAATAAAATATTGTATAAATGTCCATAATTAAGGTAATACTAAATAATAAACTGAAGTGTATGTACACTCTAATAGGTGACAATCAAAATAGGAAAATATGTGAAGACTTCCTGTAATTTGAAATAATTTGATACAGGAATGGCTAGGTTCTGTTTAAAAGTATACAGATACCTAAGTGTACATATATACAATTAAAATAACTGATAAATAACAGAAGTATATACATGCGGATAGGAGGTCCTGTTCGAAAATGACAGAGACCTTCACTGCTAATATAAACTGAAAAAATACATTTAGTTGTTCTATTCCTAACATATTTGTGATCTAATACATGGAGATTTAGAGCTTAAATGTCACGATCGCATTCGAACACATATCATCACCAATATGTGCCGCCGGACAGCATTTATTCTCCTATTTAATTTACTATTTCAGTTTCATGTCTCCAATCCTGTGTTGTACTTTATTGCTACCGAATATTTCCTTTTTCTTGTGGGGAGGATTGGTGCTTATGTATTATCAAATATCTAGTTATTGAACTAGACAGGTCTGTTGTTACAAACACAGACTAAATCACTTAGAATTTTCCCCCACCCACAGCGGTAGCATATTTTTTCCATCTAAGAAGCCTATATTTAACAACTATCCTCGTTACATTTATGGTTCATGAATATATCTCCTTTTAGATCTTAGGGAAATATATTTCTTCTGCAATATCACACCTATCTGTCTATACAATATTTTCTAGGCTACATTTTCTTTAACTTAAAGACACCGGACGTGCATGCCTGACTTACCTGTGGAATAGTATCATATACCAATCTAATTCATTGGTTATACAAGTTAACGACAGTTTCGGTTACCTACTAATTGTGAAACATCTGGTTTCGCATACAAATTAATATTCAAGTCTCTGAAAACTTTTGAACAGGACCTGCTAATGTCCAGGGTATTTGTCAGTTATTTTCTACATTGAATACTATTGAATAACGGACAGCTAACTTCTATTCAGATTCAGGCTCCGTGGATTGCAAAACATAGTTTTTGCTCACACTACTGAGTGAAGGTTTCCGAGAACATTCAAACAGGACCTTCCTTTCATCATGTATATACCTTAGTTTTTTTATTTTTTCAGTTTATATTAGCGGTGAAGGTCTCTGTCATTTTCGAACAGGACCTCCTATCCGCATGTATATACTTCTGTTATTTATCAGTTTATTTAATTGTATATATGTACACTTAGGTATCTGTATACTTTTAAAGAGAACCTAGCCATTCCTGTATCAAATTATTTCAAATTACAGGAAGTCTTCACATATTTTCCTATTTTGATTGTCACCTATTAGAGTGTACATACACTTCAGTTCCTTCACTATGGACATCTATACAATATTTAATTATTACTATTAAAGGTTAATTTTATATCCTCATAGGACAGAATCATTAACTATTCTATAGCAACTTACTACATGTTGATGGACATTATGTGAGTTGCTATGGTGATCTGTTTGCATTTTGCCCCAGAAGAGCACCTGATTTTGCATTCATAACTCTCCAAGCTAGAGTTTTATGCAGAACTGCCAATCTACTGTGGATTTTTTATATTCTTCAACAAGTGTCAAGAATATATACGGCTTTATTGCATTCCTCTTTTATTAAACATAGGTTGCAATAAAATTCCCTGTCTGACTTTTCAATTTTGAATTATTATTCTAATTAATATTGTTCAGTGATAATATATTTCCCAGTAAAAGTTTTACATTTTGCACAATTGTTCAGTAAATGGCACATTTATAAATCTATTCTTTTGTGCCTTTATAGAACAACGTGTATGTTTGTTTTACCCTTGCTATGGATGTCTGCCCTACCTTTATAAAATATTCCCCAAATATTTGCCTTGTTTCTTTAAGGAAGAGTTTAGTTTGTATAAGTAAGCACATTCTTATATTTTCTTTGCTTTAATTTGTATCTCTAATGGATTTTAATTAAGTTGAGAATTCGTACTGGAATTGCTTATGGACAATTAATGCAGATACTTTACTAGTGGTGTGATAATACAAAGTCTTTGGGGTGAATTTACTGTAGTTTATTAAAAATAAAAATTGCAAACAGCGACTGAAATGCCTTGTTTTTCCATTTTAGCCTACATTTTCTAATGTTATTTTAAATACAAAAACATCAGCTAACAGGTGACTGTACCTCGCAATTTCAGTGGCCTTATGGAAATACGTTAGCCATTGAGACATCTCTGCTTTTATCTTGGAATCTTTAAAAATAAATTACTTGCTTGGTGTGTATTACAACATATATATATATATGGTATCTCACACTGAAGAAATGACACTCTGCTACAATGTAAAGTAGTAAGTGTACAGCCTGTATAACAGTGTAAATTTGCTGTCCCCTCAAAATAACTTAACACACAGCCATTAATGTCTAAACCGTTGGAAACAAAAGTGAATACACCCCTTAGTTGAAATGTTAGAAAATAATTGAACATTAATTGATTTGAGGCAATAAACAAATACTTGAAAAAATATGAAGAAGTGTAAAGCAAAAGACAAAAATGCTTACTATTAAAGGAACATACCAAGAATACAGTAGAGGTTATGTGTCAAGTGTGCCCTGGGCCCCTCATGGGTCTTTAATGGTTATGGTGCTTATTGGAGCTACACTTGCATACGAAATATTGCTGTGTGACTCCTTCATTGGGAATAGTCTCCACCACTAACAAGACTTTCTTTTTTGATTGTGCAGAATAATTTGACTACAATTTTTTATTGCACAGTATGAGTGAAACTACTTTACAAGCTACTAACGGCCATGTCATGATTGTTATTATTTTATGCAAAAATTTACAGACTCTTAAAGCAGGCTTTGTACATCAGCTAAGTCATTTCCCACGCAAGCATGATGCTGTGGCTTGGGTTTTCCCCAAAGAAGGTAGCTGCACAACTTATTTGTAACTAAAACAGAAAATAATTATTTAAAATGTCCCCCTTTTGACCTATACATTCCAGAGTTTGACTTATAGCTACAACACGTTCTGCAGTTCTCAGGAGTTATGATCCACCCTGGGAAGCAGAAAGTAGAATAACCTATGAACAATAGACTTTGCAATTATATAAAGTTGTTGTGGTTCTTCAAACAACTTTTTAATTCCTTACGGACCAATCACAGTTCATGTCATCAGAATAATCTACAGTAAAGAATGTTATTCGAAAATGTCACAGTCAACAATTGCTGGTGCTGAATTTTGTTGATATACCAAACCTAAATTAATAAGTATATGATAACATTAGCATTTAGGGGCCAGGTTTTTGTGACAGCAAATAGTAACATTTGGTCTTTAAGCATCGAGATTAGAAAAGAGACTAGAAAACTACCACAACAAGATGACATATTCTTAAATTAGAGGGGCAAGAGTTTAAAAATAATCTTAGGAAGTATTACTTTACAGAGAGGGTAGTGGATGCATGGAATAACCTTCCAGCTGAAGTGGTAGAGGTTAACACAGAGTTTAAGCACAGATGAATCAAACTAAGTGTAGCATCTCAAGTAGTGGTTGTATTCATATGAATACAACCACTACTTGAGATGCTACACTTAGTTTGATTCATCTGTGTCTTCTATATATGTTGTGGAGAGGAACATACTTTTCCTTGAAGAGAGGGGTCGTGTGATCTACCCAAAAAGACACAAGACGCTTGGAAGTTTAGAGCCTAAAAACTTGAAAAGGCTCTAATAAATGTTAGTTTAGATACATTTGTCACTCACACACTGTTTTACTAAAATTTGTAATCTACTGCACTATTATTTGTATATATCTTTTTTCTCTTTTTATGTATATCACTTTGAGATCAACGTAGAGGGTAAGTGTTTTTTGAATTATTGAAAAACACGTTTTACCTCACATTATAATATAGCGCTGCACTCTTTAAAAGCTGAGGACCTAAAGGTGGGAACACCAGTAAGGTCTAAAGTTTTTTTGGTGTTTATAAACCTATCTTAGACTTAAGATAAGGCCAGGGACTAATGAAAGTATTTAGAAAATTGGGCAGACTAGATGGGCCAAACTGTTCTTATCTGCTGTCACAGTCTATGTTTCTGTGTTTTTCTGATATGCTTTTTTTTTGTTTTTACAATTTAATAGTACATTTAAACATCATTAAATTAACCTAAGTATCAGTATTCTAATATGATGCACTTAGTAAATATATTAATGCTATATTGCATTAATTTGTAAATAACAAAATAAAAAAATTAAAGACTTTAACCCCTTAAAGACACATGACGGAAATATTCCATCATGATTCCCTTTTATTTCTTAAACTTTGTCCTTAAAGGGTTAAAGCGATTTTTAAGTAAGAATGTATGCAAAGGGTATTACATATATAATCCTTTATATTATGATGGCTTTGAATATAAATGTGTAATAAATGCTTTTGAATAGATTGTGTCATAGTTTGAGGTTTATGGCTTTAGATGATTGGCTACCGGCTGCAATTTAAAATGTGTTGTATAGATTAATAGCACATTTAATCAGTTTTATACCAACAGTGGTCAATTATTGAAGCTGTGCCAGAAAGTGAAATTTCTTCTAGTTGTAAACTCCATAAATGGTGCACAAACTGTAAATGAGATGTTGTGCTTAAAAATATGAAATCATTGTATTTTTCAAGGAAAATTACAAAAGAAAATGATAGTATATTTTTAGTTACTATGTGTTAAGCTTAAGATTTAGCTTATCAAAAAAATGTCAGTATGAACTGTAAATTAATATTCCTTGCATTGATACACCACACCAACACAGTCCAACTATATTTATACTTTTTAAATACTTGTATAATTTCAATTACTTGTATATATTTTATACATCCAGACATGTAATTCTTCATTCTGATCAGTAGATACAACAAAAATGATGTGGCATTGGAAAGTCTAATAGCTAGCTAAAGGGCTGTCGTGAATTGTTCTTCTGGCTTAATAGTTCTGGTGGTATGTTATACTAAAAAAAAGAGTCAATAATAATAATAATAATAATGATAAGTATTATATTTCATTAAAAGCTAATCTTGGAAATGATGTAAAAAAAATAAAAACATTTATTGTTGTACAAAGTTTTTTTGCACTCGTATTTTTATATTTTCTTATGGAAAATGAAATCTGGCCTTTTTTGAAAATGAAAAAACTTCATCTCATAAATGAATAAAATAAAGAACATCTAGTGTCTGCATTAGGAAAGATCACACACTATAACTTTACAACTTTACTCTATTTTCACTATGTGAAATCTTTCTTTCTTCTAGTCATCTTTTTTTCTTTACTTCACTCGTATTACATTTCTGTATTTTCAATTGTTGAGTTTCATATGAATCCTAAATTATAATACTTTTTCCAAATGAATGCCAGTTGTATTCACAAACTTCGGAGGCACAATATAATTATATCAAGTAGTAATAGTTGGGTTGTGTTACTGCTCATTTCCAATTGCTGACAATTTCATGCTCCATTTAGTTCATCTCATTTATCTTCCAATGGTGTGAAGAAGTCCATTTACTTCCTCTCTCACTGCCTTCATTCAAACATTCTCATCCTTGTTTCATAAAAAAAAAAAAATCCAATTTAGCATTGGCGCATGTTATTAATTTATACTTAGTTTATCTGTAATGCTTTGCCTATGTCTAACTTATGTTGTAACATGGAATGCAAACATGTTTTCATTAATAATAAAACAGAACAGTTAATCAATATGGAAAATTATTGTGTTATCCTTACCTTATGTTTTTATTACATTTTATCTGGGATAGGTTTACCCTGAATGGTTAAAAATGTTTCTTTTTCCCCCCAGATGTCAAAAAATATTTAAGAACAGGTATTGCTTTCTTCATTTTAAGTATTCTTCCATCAACACACAACATTTAAGTAAATGGATTGCAATAGTATGTTGCTTTTAAGATCACAGTAAGGTTATATTTAAATGTATTATGAGGGTTGGACCTGCAAAATCTATTTATTAAAATATTATAATGGTGTTTTGTCACTTGAAATTATTTGGTATCTTTTTTTAATGTATTATGTATATATTTTCTAGTACACTGGTAGAAGCATTTTCCTAGTTCACAGACCAACTAAAAAAGTAATCAATAGAAAAAAAAGAGTAGGTGCAGTTAAAAAAAATATATATTTATATATTATATAGTGTAACAATGCAGTTATTGTGGGCACAGGACATACTTGAAAATGAGAAAAAACTCAATCCTTCCTGGTAAAATATTTTATAAATAATATATATATATATACACACACACACACACACACACACAACTATAAAAAAGTTTTACTGCTCCACATTTTTTTCCTTTGTTGCTCACTTCCCACTTAATCTGTGAATAAAATCAGCATTTGGTGATGGTACCCTTTCCATCAATCATCTTTTTTAACATAAACTATTTATTTCTTTGGTGCCAAGCAAAGAATACAGAATCACGAATTAAAATGGACATTTACGTCCATTGCAGAGCTTGTTTGATTCATGATTCAGTTACATTTCAGCTTGGATGTAAGGAATTAGACCGATCACTCAATTTTCCCAAATTCGGATGAATTTCTGTTTGTACGAAAAAGAATCTCCACATGTAGAACTTACACCTGTAGGAGCACAGGAGGTCATACAAGGTACCTCAAGCTGTCTCACAAGCACACGAAGAACAAACTACTATTTTCACCAATTTCATTGCCCCTAATCGATTCCAGGTCTAATTTCCACCAGCAGTATTTCTGACCTTGGCTTTATACCTGATGGAAAAACAAAAATTGACAAAAAACTGAATGATTGCTGCAGCAATGTCTTTTTTATATTTCTGACTATAGTTAAGATCACAAGAAAATTACATTGTAATCTCTGCAGGCTTATATATTAGTGTCCCTGAGGATCTCAGTATATAGAGCTGCCTACCCTGTCATCGCTAAAATGTAATTCAGAATGCATAGTGACATATTTTGTTTCCCAGAATAACATTTGTACTTGTTATTTCACATTAAGATTGTAAAAGTTTAATATCAATTACAAAGATCTGCTCATATTTTATTGTAAGTCACTTTCTAGCTGACTATACAAGCTTTGTTCATTACTGCTTTATGCTCAGGAATAATATTATTCCTTATTGTTCTGTACTTGGCAGAATCAGTCAAAGGGCCATTATTTTCAAAGAAAGCTGTGACCAATTGCTTTAAAAATAAATGATACCTGCACTGAATCAGAAAGGAAGAAGGTTCATTAAAACTGCTGTTCTTTTGCACTCATCAGTCTCTCTCCAATGGATTTGACGTTGCCTGCGAGACTTAGTATATATTATGTTTATTGTTAGAGATTATCATTCTGCATAAATTTATTCTTTTACATGAAATAAGCATCAACAGTTAAACAGTTATCGTATCTAAGACAGAAATATAACTTTGTAAAGATAGTAAAATACACTGTTCCCCTACATTGTTGTATTACTTATTGAAGACTGGCTAAGCATTTCTTTAAATCCAATTTTCTTCTTAAAATGTTTTCCTCGGAATAATGTATTTCATTTAAATAAAAATAGATGAGAATGTAATTAGGTCATGTCCTATTCATTATTTTATGATTATTTGACGGTTAGTCAATACTCTGTATACCCGTAGTTTAATCTAAGTTGTAGGCATGTGCATGGGAAAAATTTTCGGTTCGGCATTCCAAAATTCAGGACTTTGGTAATTCGGGACTTCGGCAATTCGGCACTTCGAGACTTAGGGACTTCGGCAACTTCGGCACTTCAACACATCGGAAATTCGGTAATTTTGGAACTTCTGCAATTCACTCTTCTGAACTTCAGGTAACTTTGGCACTTCGCCACTTCGGGACGTCGGAATTTCTGAACTTCTCTTGCAGCCACTTGGTAGATAACTCTCTAATTCCCACGGTATTAGGGAGTTATCTACCAAAAGGCTGAAAGACCTAAATTGGTCTTTCAGCCAAATTTACTAATACTAAGTAAAGATTACTTAGCATTAGTAAATTATGCCCCTACTCGCTATACGGCGAGTAGGGGCATCTCTAGTAAACAGTGGGCAGCCAGTGGCTGCTCACAGTTAAAAAAAAGTAACTGCTAAGTTACTCAGTCAGCCACATCCCCAGGCGCATTATTTTAAAGAAAGAGATACCACAATCTTTATCTACTTCGACAAGCAGAGAAAATGTATACTTTTGTGTTTTTTATTGTTAATGATAGCCGTCATGACTTTCCCAAAAAAAAATAATAAAAAAATATATAAATATATATATGTATATATATATTCATGGTTTATATGAAGAGCTATCAGAAAATAAAACAAATTGGTTTCTGTTGATTACATTTAGTTGATCAGTTCATTAGAACAGACCAATGGGAAATGCGTCTGGTCTTTTTTTTTTTTTGTATTTCGAAGCACTGATGGTCAAGTATAAATTATAGACCTTAAACCTCATATCCTGCAACCCACTCCTTTACCCATTTTATCACTTGTTTCTATAAACGTTCCTCTAACATTAAAGGGGCACAGTCACTTTGCTAGAATTTACATCACTGCATAAAACTAAAAAAGCC